GAAGCGGGCGGCCCCAGGCCCTGGGCTTAGATCGCTTTGGGTGTCCTGCGGCCTGTTTCTTAATTACTTTCTAATTCTTCCTTTGTCTGTCTTCCCCCTCCCCTCCTTCCCCAGGCTCTGTGGGGTTTTCTGGGTTTAGGGGGGTTTCTTTTTTTTTATTCTTCTTTCTTTTTTTTTTTTTTCTTTTTTTCCCCCAAATTCGGTGAGATCATCTCGCCTGGAGGCTGCAGTGTGACAGAAATGCTAAGTAGCCCCGTCGCTTGGGGAGGTTTCCTCATCTAAACTCCATAGTCGTCTTGCTTGCAATCAGGTGCCAGTCTTTCAGAAAATGAATACCTAATTGAACTGGAGGTAGTAATTCATGGGTAGAGGCCAAAACCTAAAAGCATAAAGTATATATCGCTTAATTAAAGATGAATGTAAATCTTCAAGAATGAGCTGCAGTAACTATGAATTAAGAACTAAAGGAGTTAGCCTCAGGTTGAAGATTCTAGGAAAGGTAGAGAAACTGTTGGCATGTGGCACCTGTTTCTTTGCAAAGGAAGTGTAATCCTGAGTCATAACTGGATTTTGACTTCAGATTTTTTACATCTTGGTAGTTAATACCCTTCAACTTTTCAATACCCTGAAATATTTTATGTGCCAAAGTACTTAATTTTGATACAGTTAATACCCTTCAACTTTCACTACTCTGAAACATCTTAAGTGCCAAAGTACTCAGTTTTGATGGCGTTTGATATATATGGATTGTAGTTGTCATCCGTGCAGTTATGTTAAACAGATGGGACAACCGAACACTTCACACTTCTTACTGTTTCTAAGTGAGTCATTTAAAGAGTGTGACTAATCATCCTACCATACAGTTGTCAACAAAACAGTAATTTTTTTCTACCACCCACAAAATCTGAAGAAGAGATTTCCAGATTTTCCGTGGATTAGAAATGAAAAGTAAAGAACTTCTCTTTTGAACAACAGCTTAAATTTAGATTGAGGGGGACTACATGTGATGGACTCTGCATCTTAAGAATTTATATGTCTTTTTTTCTGTGCAGCAATACAGTAATATATCCAGAGAGTTGGTTAACTTACTATGGCCATTGTTGGGCAGAAAGTAACACATTAGTTGTTTTAAGGCTTTTGCCTGAATAGCAACCTTAGGTGAAACAAAATTAATTTTATCTGTCCTCTTTCCCCTCCCTGGTTCACTTGTGTCAGGTTGTAAATCATCTGGGACAGAGGCACTTTAATATTCAGTGCAGTATGAATTGGGCATTTTCATGATAATAGTCAAGGGCTGGGTGTCATCAGGGTAATAATAGTGCTAACTGTGTGTTGAGGGGGGAAGAAACTGTTTTGAGGAAACCAGGGTACTAAGAGAAAGAGCTGGCTGAGAAATTTGTGTTTAGAGAAGTGATACGAGAAGTGACCTGATTTGAACATAGCCCTTGTGGGAAATGGAAGTCAGTGATTACCTACAGCTTGTGAGGCTGAGCCAAGAGGGCAGTAGTAAACTTAAACCCCCGCAAGTATTACGGGAATAGTAAGTGTCTTGAAGGGGAGATATTCAGAGTTGATTCTTCTCAGTTAAATGAGTTAAAGAGCTGTGAGGGAAGTGTTAAACTGGACACAGGAGGCAGATGAGTGCAAAGATTGGGAAGGGCTGTTTAGAAGTGCAGTTACTTATGGGGGAGGAGGAAGTAGCATATGGGGTGGAAAATGAGGAGACCAAGAATGCATCTGAATGGATCCCACAAACAACGTAAGAAAGGTATATTAAATGTATGCCAGCTTCTGCTGTTGGCAAATACATTTTCTGATTCTTCGTGTCTGTTGGCAGCATTGATTTACTCTTTATTGAATGTATGTCTAATAGTTAGTTGGTTTGGTCTGTTTGTTGTCTCATCGCCTTTCCTGTGAAGACTAATTACTCATTAGGAGTGTGCTGAGAAAGCTGTTCTGTGTTTTCCCCATAATTAATACTTGAAATGACTTTGGCATGTTGGTGAATTGACACACACAAAAAAAGTATTTACCCAATAACTTTCTTCTCACATGTAAGCAGAGTGGTGCTATATGGTTGGGTTTTGTGGCCTGGTGATCTCTTTAGAGAAGCGATCTCTTCTGTCAGGTGCCTGCCTTAGCAGGTATTACAGATTACTTTTGCTAAGCAGGAAGCCCCATTGAAAGGATGACGCTTTGCTTTCGCTTCTTGCAAATCGAATGTTGAAGAACAGGTTTTCTTTAGGAAATAGAAAAGTTGGGGAGTGGTCTGAGAGCAGATTCATTAGGACTCAATCCTAGGCCAGAGAGAGCAAGTAATGGCACAGAAATAAACAGAGATGACACCTCTTTCTGATACTGGAAGGTTATTCATGTCCTCTAATAGTGTGATCCCATTGGTTAAATATTTGGAAAGTATTGAAGAACTGTGGGTATAGTATAGCCCTTCCTCTTATACACCAGTTTCCTGGAGATGATATCCTTCTCTTAGCTAATCCTTGGATTAGAGGTCGCAAAGCATACCAGTAATGTCAGAATGTCAGAAGAATCAGTTGCGCAAAAATGTATCTGTAGGTTTTGTGCTATGTGAGGGGCAGTACCGACTGAGATACTAATGTAGTCTTACCTGCTTATTAGTAAATGTTTCGAGTGGAAGATAGTCTTCTGTAAAGCAGTAGCTGTGGTTGTCAGAAATCTGCACTGGGTAATACAGCCCAATAATTAGGGAACGGTGGCTTTAGTGACACTTTAGTTTTGAAATAGTCCGTGTTGGTGTTGTATTTTACTTGGGAGAAGGGAAATAGTTTTTATGTTATTCCTCTAACTTTCTGGAATATCTTTATTTAACTAAAAAATAGAAAGAAATGGTCACTTCTTTTTTTTATTTTAAAGTTGCTGTACCACCTGGTATGCCCTCTCAGTGAGCAAAGGGGACTTTTAGCTATTTTTGAGCAAGCTAGAAGCAAAGTAGTTGCATAATAAACTACGCTGTTGACTTTGCAAATAACATGGAGCTTGGTTCCTCTTAATCATCTTTAGCTATTAATAAACTAATTTCATTGAAAATGCTGGGATCTTTTTATTGTGAATTAGGTAAATTCTTACTGTAATTACTGCACAGTCTAACCTCCTGGTTTTGTTCAGGACAGCCTGGCATTATCATTATGGATCGCTCTCGGCACCATGCAGGGAATGGCAATGAGCAGGCATCTTCACGAGAGCGTAGTCGTGGTGAAGATGAGAGACAACGACAGCTGGAGCGCCTCAGCAGGGAGGAGGCCTATTACCAGTTCATTAATGAACTCAATGAAGAAGACTACAGGTTAATGAGGGACCGCAACCTGCTTGGCACTCCTGGTAAGACGTGGATACCTTCAGTAGAAAAGATGTAATGTGAGGTAACGCTCGTGCTGTCAGGCATCATTTGTGGTTGTATGACTCAAGTAGCCTGACGTCTGTGGTTTTGTAGAAAGGAAAAAACCTTCTGTTTCCCTTCAAAATTTATGACATTCGATAGAAATTAACAACTTAAGTAGATACTAAAGTTACAATAAAAATATAACTCTTTGAAATGCAACACCTCCATATATAGGTAATATCCAAACTCAAATAATTAACATCTGGTACAGTAAAGTGTATCTGTGACAATTTTGGGGGCCTCTGAGTTGTTACTGGAAGTTGGTATGCTCTTGACACACATTCAGCATCTTTTTTTCCTCCACCCCAGTACCTACTTCCTTTGTTGTCTGTGTACCTGTGTTATTGTCTCACACTAGTGCTGTTTTCTTTTTTGTTTCATTGATGTTACCTTATTTCTGAAGATTTTCCTTCAAGATAAAAAATATTGTTAGTTCTGCATGGCTGTGTTGAGCTAATAATAATTTCTCATCTAACGGCATTATCAAAATGTAAATTATTTCAGGGGAAATAACAGCAGAAGAGCTGCAGCAACGTTTGTCAGGGGCTAAGGAGCGTCTGGCATCACAGAATGATCTGGATAACAGAGAAGGTGAAGGTAGAACTGTTGGAGGTAACCATTCCTCATTCATATGTATAGATAACCGTAGTACGTGATGCATAAATATTGTTCTGTACAGATATTTAAGAGAAATGCTGATGGATTTCAGTACCAGCCATTTCAGGTCTTGTTTTTTAATTGTGCCTCTGTGGAATGTTTTGAAAGTAAGAGAGACTTCGTAATGATATGAAAACAAACTTGAAATATTTCATGAAAACTGATTTATGTCAGCGACAAATTACTTTTTCCTGTTTTCCTGGTTTCCCTTTGCTAGTGAACTTAACAGCACAAAAATAATTTTCATCCTTCTAATTCTTAAAAGGTTTTATCATGTATTAGAGACGTTGGAACAGAAAATAAGTTAATTGGGAAGCAGTTAACCTCTCCACTCTTTTGTTGTTTCACTTCCATTTGTTTTAATGGAGTGAGGTTGTATTATGTGCGCTGTCTGTGGTCACTTCCCCAGCAATATTGGCTTAATTGTTTGGCCAATTCTAGTCAGATATAGGAGAGGAACAGGCAACTCTGTAAGGAGAATACCAAAGTTCTTGCAGGTTTCATGAAGGTAGGGAGATGATGGAGTAGGGAGAGCTTAATCTGATCCCTTCAAGGGAAAACCTTTGCTGTGATCATGAGTGTTAGCTTGCTTTATACGCGTAGTTAGCACTAACCACAGCAATTGTATCTGTTCTTGAGCTTGTAGTTGGAGGAGATTTGGGAATGGAGCTGTAAATATTGTAGTAGGGAGAAGAATACAATTGCACAAAAGGAGCAAATTTGTCGAAACCATGCATCATTTTTCTACTACATATAGAAAACAATTTTTAAAAAATGTTTTCCAGAAGATGTCATACTTTTTTTTGCTTTATGAAAATTAGTTGACTAGAGTACCTTCAAATTGACAGCTTAAGCGAGGTACAGATACTGGACAAATATAACTAACTTTGCACTACCTGAATCTGAACAGTTTCTCAGAAGAGGCCGTCTAAGTATATTCATTTCTCTGTCTATCTGCTGGTGAGACAAATTCTAGGTTGAGCTGATGAGTTTTGCTGATGTTTTTACATACAGTATATTTTCAGCAAAATTATGTTAGCATAGCAAGGTAGCTGTCCTGCTTCTGTAATGTTTCTGAAGTCAGGGAGCAGCAAGCATAGGGGATTTGGAGTGCATCGTAGTATGCTGAGCGTGCAGTTGTATGAACGTTTGCAATTCTGTGTTTCTCTCAGATTCTGATGTTCTTGGAGAAAACTCAAATGGTGACTCTTTGCTTGAATGGCTGAACACATTTCGTCGCACAGGAAATGCCACTCGCAGCGGACAGAGTGGGAACCAAACCTGGAGAGCTGTGAGTCGAACAAATCCAAACAGTGGGGAGTTTCGATTTAGTCTTGAAATCAACATAAATCATGAGCATAACAGTTTTGAGACTGCTAGTGAGGAGTACGTGGGTATAGATAGTAGCAGAATGTATTTAGACAGAAGACATCAAAGAGCTGTTAGTCCAGTAACCCCACGAACGAGGAGCAGAACTGCAAGAGAGGCAAACAGCGAGGCTTCAGGCACTGCAAGGACCAGGTCCGTAAGAAGTTCCGTGGCACAAAGGTCTGATGTAGCCTCTCAGCCAGTCTCAGGGAGGCTCAGGAGTAGAACGAGGGAGTTGACGGGCCTTTCCCAAACAAATACCACACGTAATAATTCTGTGGCTACTGGTGGGCAAAGAGAAATGTCAGAAAGAGGTACTTCTACAGGAGTCACAAGAGGTAGAGCTAGAACTAATGTTCGGATGAGTACAAACCAAAGACTAGAAATTCTGCGGCTGAGGTCTACTTTAAGTAGTCGAAGCCGCTCTCCACTGCAAAGGCAAGGTGACACTGCTCATTCTGAGGAACATGGGCAGAGGCAGGATACAAATGCACAGCACGTCAACAGAAGTAGAAGACAAACTGCTCAGCCTTCCCCACAGCCTGCTGAAGAACAAGCGAGAGGTAACACTCAGACTCCACAGCTTTCCAGTGTAGCCCCATCCTTGGGAATAACTTTGGAAGAGGAGGAATCTAGTAGGCCAGTAGCTGCTGTTAGAAGGCATCCAACAATTACATTAGATCTTCAGGTGAGAAGAATTCGTCCTGGAGAAAACAGAGATCGAGACAGTATTGCTAGTAGAACTCGTTCTAGAGTAGGAATGGCAGAAAACACAGTTACCTTTGAAAGTGACAGCGGGGGATTTCGGCGTACGATATCACGATCAGAACGTGCAGGTATTCGAACCTACGTTAGCACTATACGGATACCTCTTCGTCGGATTTCAGAAACTGGGCTCGGTGAACCTTCATCAGTGGCTCTTCGATCGATCCTTAGACAAATTATGACAGGCTTTGGAGAACTGAGTTCTTTAATGGAAACCGAATCTAATTCGGAAGTGCAAAGAGGTGGTCATCGCTTGCCAGATGTACAGTCAGAGCAGAATAACTCCAGTTCAGCAAACCATAGCAGTGATGCAAGTGAGGTTTCATCTAGAAATGGGCATGCAGTAGAAGGCAGCAGGGAAACAAATGGACAGAGTGATGATATTCAACGCTTTGGTCGCAATACTGAAACCCAGGATAACAGGCAGTCTCAAGATGCGAACAACCTAGTGGAAAATGGAACGCTGCCCATACTTCGACTTGCCCACTTCTTCTTGCTGAATGAAGATGACGACGACGATCGGCTACGAGGTTTAACCAAAGAGCAGATAGACAATCTTTCTACACGGAACTATGGGGATATTCACACTGAAAACGAAATAAGTAAAACGTGTAGTGTTTGCATTAATGAATATGTAACAGGGAATAAGCTAAGGCAGTTACCTTGTATGCATGAGTTTCATATTCACTGTATCGATCGCTGGCTTTCTGAAAACTCCACTTGCCCAATTTGTCGGCAGCCTGTATTGGGGTCCAATGCCACAGACAATGGCTAGAATTATTTATACTGCTCAGTATTCAAGGATTTGCTTCTGCTCTATTTATGATGAGCCAGATGGAATGAATTGACTTACATAGTGGTCCATTTGTGTGGGGAGTTTTGTTAAATTTCTTTAAAAATAATAGGAAACTTGTCTAAATCTAGCAATGTAAATACTATTTTTCTCCAAGTGCAGATCTAGGAGTACACATAGAACCAAATGATATCGGTAAAGTTTATATTTTTTTAGGTAATTTTGTTATGCTAAGCACTTTTGTAAATACAGAAATGCAATAGTTAATCAGTCCTGCTTAATGTATGGTTTTTTTAACAGTGTAATGGACTCACTTTATTTAGATTACAAATTGTTTCACACGGACCCACCACTGTGTTGAAAAATTAGTGTCTAAATAGCCATTCGTTAGTTTTTTGTTCTAAGAACAATTTATTTTTCAGAGAGTCTCTTGCTGGACATGTTTGCTAAAGATATTTAAGTTACTTGAAGTGCTCATTTTAATAGACAGTATATTTTTTTTAACATTGAAATATCCTTTCCAAAAACTTGCCAATTTGGTTCTATTTAAAAAAAATTTATGGCAATTTTTGCATGTGATTTTACACAATGCTTAACGCTGATGAGTTCATATTCAAAAGTGGATGGGTTAGTGACATTATAAAATGTACATAATTAAATGCCGTCTTTGACAATCGCTGTCTTTTCAATGCAGACAGCAATCAAATAAATGATAATTCCAAGAGGGCGTGTCTTACTGAACATGATATTTGCTCAAAGAATAAATGAGCACTGAGGAAGCCTTTTTACTCTTCCAAATTACTCAATTGATACTCATGGGTTTTTAACTGCCTTAGTTTAAAGAGGGATATGTTTCCTTGACCATTATATTGTCTACAATATGCATGATTTGTGCATCCTACTCAGAAAAACAACAGTCTTGAAGTGTTTTTTGTACAGAAATTTAAGGTACACATATTATATTAGTCCTCTTAAAACACGTCTGAGGACCAAATGGCAAAAGACACTAAAAAGGACAAAATCAGCTTCCCTTAAAGTCCCCAGATTACTGTATAATTAGATATTAAACTTTATACCAATAACTTATAAAGAAATAAAGTTGCAAAGTGCACACAGATGGAGGCTTTGTGTGAATTACTTTTGAGCTATATCCTGTAGATTGGTGAGAAGTTTTACTATTCTTGATGATCAGTCTCAGTTTTCACTTTATTCGTTCCCTGGTTTTCCTCAGCCACGTACTTGGGGTTTCGACAATGTGCGTAGCTGTTACGGTAGACAAAAATGCAAGGCAAAGCACTCTTGGGGCCTCTGGAAATAAGCTGAGCGTTACAAAGCTCATCTCCTGAGAAATGTGCATCTTGATCCCTAGAGAAAGGCAGAATCGTGCAATATTCTCCCATGTGCCTATTCTTAGCAGTAGGAAGATTACTTCAAGTGAAGAAGTCCTGCTGACTTTCTCTGCTGACAGACGGCCTTGACAGATGCACTCCTGTGCCAGGTGCTTCAGGTAAAACATCTGCGCATAGCATCCTTGAAGGGAAAAAATCCTGTGTTAAGCTATTGGATGTCTACTTCAATTTTGCAAGTGAAAAACTTGTGTCAAAAGTTCCACAAAAGTGCTGCTTTTTATTCCTAAAAGTAGTTCTAAGAAATTCTTTTACAAGATTTAGATAAGTTTAAGGATTAAGTTCTCTTCTGATGTGATATGGGCTGCTAATTATTGCAAACACTGTTGACACCTTTCTTGAGTGCTTCTTCAGCCATATCAAAAAAGTGAGATCAGAACTAGCTTATTTTTTTACTTTTTTTTTTTTTTTCCTCATTACTTCTGATAGCTCTTGATGTTGACAGTATCTAAATACCCGGGTGCCTTCTGCTAGGTCCTTTTCTCCTTAGGGTTTTCCTTTATATTTGAAAGCCGCCTGACTCAAGTGCCACACTTGTAGAAACCTGCCTTTGGCTCACCATTGCCGTGCTGGTTGGTTCTTTCAAGGTCAGTTTCAACTTAAATCCTTATGACAGGGGACTTTTTTTCTTTGTACTGCATTTTTTAACTAACTAGTTAGAATCCTGCTCGGTTGCTACACTAGTGCACTAGAGGTAAAGGGAGATTCCCTGTGCCTTCTTTCATTCAGGTGGGATTTTGCTGTGTAACCGTAAGAGCAAAATTTGGTCATGTATGACAGGGTACTTGTAACTGAGAATGTCCAGAAGTCCAGTGAGAGCTTTCCATAGAAATCAGAGGCTATTGGATAGGAAACACAAAGTCTCCTGTGCTCTGTTCCTGTGCGGCTGCATGTGAATGGCCGAGTATTTACCCTCTGTTGGAGGGGTGTGTCACTTTTTCCTCAACTCGCCCAGCAAATTGTGTTGATGGGACCAATTAAATCTCAGTGGTTCAGTTTGGTATTGGTGTCTTACCCGCCTTCCTGTGACATTCCTTCAGTTCCACACACACCCCAAATACTGTTCTACCTTGTCCGTGGCACAAGGGTTTCGTGTTCCAGCAGCCTTATCTGTGTTTAAAAGCTTGCTTACCTTATTCTCCGTGTATTTCCTATCATTTCTCAAACCGACCTGTGTTCTTGATCTCTGCAGCTGGCCATTGCAGTGTTACAGGTTTTCTTTTGTGAGAAGTACTCGTTTTTACTTGCTTTTTAGTATCTTAAGATTCCTAGTTCATGTACTGTAAGAAGCAAAATCACCATAAGTAACACCTCCCTGTTACTTTGCTACTGTCTTACCCTGTTCTCCTGTGTTGTTTTTGATGTGAGTTTGGGGTTTGTTTTTTTTTTAATAACTGAGGAGTGCTAATTAATACCTTTTTATACAGAAGCTATTCTTTTGTGATTCAAGATGTGGAGGCACTAGGTATTATTTGGTGATAAACTGGTTTCTTCCTCTCTGTGATCTTCCAAATAATTCCTCATATTCTGATTTTGCTTTGATATCAGCTCAGTGCTGAGCAGCAATCTTAAATTTTGCAAAAAGAATTCATGATCACTTTCCTGAATGTTAATTGCTAATTTAGAACTGATTATTGCATGCTTTTTTTTGCATACTATTGTCTACATTTTTTTCTCTTGGATTATGTTGTACAAGTCAAATTTTCTCTGCCCTTTTATCATCCTGCGCACCCTGTCTCCTCTGATTTGTCTGTGCTTCTAACAGCCCAATAATTCTGTACCATTTGCAGATTTTATCACTTGTTATTTATTTCTTTTTCTGATCATTTATAAGTATGTCACATAGTACAGGTATTTCACTAGCAATGCCTTCTAAATCAAAGCTTAACCATTTCTTTCTAGCTATTTAATCAGTAAATTTGTGAGAATTTTTTTTTATGAAAGGGGACTAGAGATAAATATATGAAGACTTTAAGAAAATAAATATGGTAATTGTCCTTAAGCTGATAGTTGTTGAGGAGAACTTGAAATCCAAGTAACGCACTGACAGAATTAAGCTTGTTTGCTAATGATTGAATTCCTTCAGTTATCCCTGAATTCCATCTGATTAGGGGAGCTAATAACATTTTTTTATCCTTTTTTTTGCTAGGAAAAGGGCTGAGGAGAGGAGTAATACTTGCTTACTCTTCATGTATTTCATGTGAAGGTGCAACAGCCTTTGCCTTTGTCTCCTTCACAGGACAGCTTTATAATGTTACTACATGTCATTAAAAGTAAATCTCTGATATGTAAATTAGCACAATGATAACACACTTTGTCTACTCAAGTTTGTCTATAAAATTAGACAGGCATCAAAGTATATTTGTGCATCTCATTTTCAAGAGCAAGATGCAGTTTGTGTGGCTGTCTGCTATTGCTGGAATGACCTGAGGTCAGATGCTAAAGCAAGTGCATAGGGTAACATTGAGATCATTCGCTTAGCTAGTAGGAGCTTCATTTTCGCACTATCGGTCATCTTTTGAGTAAGTTTAAACACTTGACAGTTCAAAGTGGCACATGATAGGTTTGTTTTTAAACAGCTTTTGTTAAAAATGGATTAAAGGTGCAGATGTCTGGAAAATTGATGGAATGCAAAAGTATTTGAAATCCCATTTGTTACTTAGAATGAACATCAACATTTCCTGTAATAGCCAAAATGTGTTTTTGAAAATTTCAGTTCTTAATGTGTTATTGGAGTATGGGGATTTCAGTATTTGTAGCTGAGTTTCATTTAGTCCTTTTCCACAAAAAGGAATTACAAAGCCAAGTGTTCAAATTCTAGAATGCCACAGGTTTGTTCTGTTCTCCCCCCAGCCCTCCCTGTAAATCTCCACAATCCTCTCCCACTAAGATGCAAGCGATCCCATAATCCACCGTGTCCTTTCTACTCTTGAAATTTCAGCATACTTTTATTTTCTCATGGCTGTTTCCATTTAATTTAGTTGACTTTCAGCTCCTGGCTAGAATTTTTCCCCAGTGAAATTCTCAGCCTGTTCTAACAGCTCCCACTAAGCGCATTTTTCTCCCTTTTCAAAGTAACATGCCAGCTACTGTGGAACTGTATCTGTCACCCTCACTGAGCTCGACTTCACCAACGTCTCTTACCTGCTCCTGGCTAACTATGGTTTGTGCTGAAGGCAGCAGGAGCTAGGTGCGTCCCAGCCAGGTTTCTGTGTCACAGGAACACTGCTCGAGAGAGGCTGTGCAATCTTAACGTCGTACTCTGTACAAGAAACTTCAAAAATAAATTTGAGGAATAAATCTCATGTGATTGTCTTGATGTGTCTAATGTGGAAGCTGTGACCTAAATGTGTCGTCAGGTCACATACTTTTCTTGCACCATTACCAGCATCAGCTGTTGCATGAGAGGGTCACCTGGCTGATTCTGTGCTTCTCAGCCTTGTGATTTAAAGTGTACCTGATGATTTGGTCATCTGTGCAATTCCCACTTGCCCCTTAATGTGAAGTTAGCTCTTACTGCTACAAAAATGGATACTGGAAAGTCTGTGTTACTATATATTTGTTTACTTGGCCTGC